GACTGTAGGAATGATGATGTTGGTTGGTTGGTCCACTGCTTTGATCCAGACTGAAATATCTTTACAACTGTTGGAGGAATTGCCATAAAATGTTATACAGACATTTAGGGTCCCCAGAGGATGAATCCTATGGACTTTGATGATCTGTTGACTTTTCCTCTAGCGCCACCAGCAGGACAAAATTTTCACTTTATCCTATGAAACTTGATCAATTGGCACTAGATTTTGTAGACATTTGAGACCCCCAGGGGATGAATCCTACTACTTCGATGAGCCTTTGAGTTTTCCTTTAGTCCCACGCACTATGAGGTGCACATTTGTGTTTTTTGTGTTAAATTTGTCAGTAACTATTGGATGGACTAAATTAAATTAGTTAAATTTGGTACACGTATTTATATCCCTCTAAAGATTTAAACACTGATGCCTTAATTTTTCATCCAGGGCCATCATCTGGTCTAAATTTCAATTTGTCAAACACTAACATGCTAAACTAAGATGGTCGCAATAATTACACCTGCTTAGCATCAGCATGTTAGCATTGTCATTGTTGCTTTGCTTGAAGCACTGCTATACCTAAGTACAGCCTAATAGAGCTTCATGGTTGCACTGTAGACTTTCACTCCGCAAAGGCTGGATCTTTTTACTTTATTTTATAGGGTCATATATTTTTTATAGGAAAGCTCAAGATGGGCAGGAATGGGGGAGAGAGAGGGGATGACACGCAGTAAAGGGCCACAGGTCAGACTCAAACCTATGACCGCTGCAGCAAGGACTCAGCCTAATGGGTCACTGTGGATTCCCGTCAAGAAGATAAACTTAATCAAGAACTCATATGATGGAACCTCAAGTCATGCATGCAGGCCAGCTCTCCCAGAGCTTTAAAGACAAGTCTCAAGTAGGGATGTCTTCTTTTACCATTCCTGTTCATCCTGGCAACTGACTGGATCAGGATGGAAACAACTGAAGGGAAAAGAGATGGGATTCAACGGACAACGTGGGAACAGTTGGATGACCTTGACTTCACGGATGACATTGCTCTCCTTTCACACACACAGATACAAATGCAGGAGAAGACAGACTCTCTTAGACCCAATACAGCAAAGACACTTTGATTAACATCTGCCTCAGGAGAATACTACTACCACATCTGGCAGAGAGACAAAGTAAGCAATGTGGACTTTGGAGGAGAAAGTGTAGTTTGATTGGACCCTCGGAAAACCTGCCACAAACATCACCCGACCAGCCTTGAAATGGAACCCACAACCAACCAGGAAAAGGGTTGTCCGGGCGGAAGTGTCTGGGAGGGGGCTAGTGAGATGAAAATGAAATTGTCTGCCATTAATATTGTACTGGCATAAAATATGGGCTACAGGTAGTTTTAGTTGTCAACTCAGTGATTGTGATTATACTAATGAGAGCAAAACAGCCCACTTTAATTTTACTGTTTATTCATGAAGGAATACGTTGTATATTTTATAGGTACACTAATACTGCTGTTGAGCTACTGATCTGTAAAGAGCTGCCAAAATGTTTAAACCCTCGGGCATCATCTTGAGGAACAATGAATTCTCTATGAATATTACATTTCTTTTCACTGAGATGCCAATTATTTTTTATCAACAACTTCCATCCTTCTGTAAGTAAGAACAAAGTAATGATCACTGAGAGAACACACGTCTCTCTAACACTCTCTAATACGCAATCAAGCAGAATGTCAACCTTGCTTTGTGCTGACACTCACAAGTGATGATTGTGTAAACAAAAGGCGCGTTGTTCATGCAAACATTATAAGGAAATAGATGAAAAGGAGTAACAAAAGAATACAAACAGTATCAAGAAGAGCCACACAGTGAAAATAAAAGAAGAGTCGCTTTGGGCGGGAGCAATTCAATTCAACTCTGATGATTTCAAAATGTCACCAGGTCTCCTGTGATTGTGATTATCATGACAGTTTAAATGTGTCTGTGTTTACACACCTGGCTTCGGAACTGAGCAACTGTAAATGGTGAGGAGGGGCTGAAAGAAGGGGAGGAGGAGGAGGGTTGAGAAGACGGAGAACGGCGTGAGGCTTATTGGGGCCAACAGAGGGCATTGTTATCTGTAATATCCATTCAAATGTGCCGTATCAGATGAAGTGAGTGCGGCACTGCTCAGGGATGGAAATTAGTCTTGTTCCCCACTCAGCCCTGGTCACGCCAAGGGCAAATTCAGACAAATGAATTTACTCAGACAATACATATGGAGCGCTGGAAATACAGAGGGATGTATGAATGGCAGAAACAGTGGAGGGATGTGAAGCAGAGAGGTCCATGCCTCAGCACACCGTCCAACCGGCCCTCACTTTCTTTTCTAACAATAATAAACAACTGTCAGCATTTTATTTCCTTCAGGGTGACTTTCACATTTCATTTTAACTTCATGTGCATTTCTTACAACGCCTTACAATTTACCCAGTGGTTGAAAATGCTGCATAAGTCTTACATTAATTGTAACCATCCATTTAACAACTGAATCTAGCATGATAACAAATCAGACTAGCTGCATGCTGTTACTACAATGCATTTGCATTCAATTCACTCATCACAACAGGAAGTTCAAGTTCAAGTTCAAGAAAAAATCCAGAAAGGGACTTTTTTTTGCAAGTTAAAAATGCACTGAGCTGGCACAACTTCCTGATTCTTTGCCACTGGGATGGAACCAAACCTGTCTATTATCGGCACATGAAATCACCACTAAATATTTAAAAATACAGTAAAATAATTAATAATTATACAGAACTTTTGACAGTAAATAGAACTATATCCTAACAAAATAAAAATGTCATTTTTCATTTTGACTTGAATCACCTCTTGCCTTGAATCCATTTGGCAGACTTTGTACAGTGACAAAGCTCACCCTTCACTGTGATAGCGCAGATAGGAACACGGATAGTACTATCTTGCTATCCCCTGTGCTATAGACACTGTGCGGCATGGAGGACATAAATCTTGTGTATTTACAACCTGTGCTGTAGTCAGGTATCTGTTAGGATGCCCTGCCCTCCTCCTCCTCCTCCACCTCCTCCTGATCTTGTCTGTGCAAGGTCTGGGTGCTTTTAACACTGTCGTCACATGGGATATCAGAGGATGGTGTTTCTCAATCAGCCTGTTATGTCACAGATTGTGATCAGGAGCTCTGTTGGAAGAAGCTTGGTCACAGAAAATATGAATGCTGCAGACAAAGGATGAAATTTGACACTTGAAATCATAGAGTTGGTTCCTTTCGTGCGTGGATGTGTTGCTTTATTGCACTCATGATAGCTTACATTTCTAAGTAATGGTGAGATTATTAGTTAGAAGTTGCAAATTGTCATCTCACAACAGTCCACTTTTATTACCAGATCTGATGCACTAATTCCATCTGACAGCACATTATATTAGAGTTAAAAAAAATAAAATCTGTTGACGTATCAGCCCAGCAGCAAGGGAGCGAGAGGATCAAGCAGTCCGTCTGTTGACTCCTCAGCTACAATTGCACAAGACAGGCCTTGTGAGTAACCATTGACCCATCGACTGCTGTGATCCATGTCTGACCGACATCAATACACATTCATCTGTGCTTGTTTCACCTCGGGCTAGTAGGCCACAGGCTACAGTGGCTGGCGTGAGATTTGGACAGGCAACAAGCATCACTTTGTCTTCCGCTCTCGCGTTATCACTGACATCAAACACCAGAGGAGGCGATCTGATGGACCTTTTTGCTTTGTTGGGAATTAGTCACTGTTAAAGGGCCCCAAAATGTCAGCGGTCAGTGTATCTTATGTATGTAAACCCTCCATTACACAGTAATTTAGGCAAGTGGGGGAATACTTCCTAAAATGGAAATACAACAAGCTTTCCTCTGTGTCTAACACAATAGACAATGTGGTGGTTTCCTGAAGCAATTGTTAGTCACCTGACACCTGATGCTTCTTTCTGGAATAAACCAATCAGCTCCCCTGCTCACTGTACCACACATACACACACACACACACACACTTCAGAGTTTCAGATTAGCAAAGATCTCTATGCTGCTGTTTTAAGTTTGCCTCTATATCAGCTTCATTAACATTCACAGCTAATGTTTTGTTCCACTGGGTAAATCCCCCCATAGAGCCATCTAAGCCATCTCCACTCTTCTCTCTTATGAGTCTGCCTGTGTTAGTACAACAGCCACTGCCACCTCTCTCCCTCCCTCCCTGCGCTCTTTTTAATTATAAACTAATCTAGGGAGGTAATCACAGACAGCATGATCAGTTACTCATGCATATATGCCATACTATAAAATGCAAGCAGTTTATTACCCTGTCTCTCCTGCCTGTTTACAGCCACTGGGAAGCATGGATGCAGTCATAATGCTGTGCCAATTAGCCGTAAAAAAGAAACATTAGTGCGCCAACTGCATTCTGGAGATATACTGTGCACCATGTGGTATATAGGTTAGAGGTCGTGGAGTCAGTTTATATTTCTCTTCTGCTGCGTAAGTTCCTTTTTTCTTAAAAAAAAAGCGCAGCGCTGAAAGGTGCTTAGTGGTTTTCATTTCATGCAGCCTTTCAACATTATTGAAGATGTGATTGCGGCTGAGTGGCAGCAGTGCAGGATGGAAGTGGATCCTCAGACTGATGAGCGGTCTAATAGGCCTGTCTAATGTATCATCGATGGATTGACTGCCGTCTCGGAGGAGACATTCAGAGGGATTCCAGCAGAAGAATTTCAGACAGAAAGAAGCCCGCTTTGCTGCTGAATATTGGCCAGGGGGAAGACGCCCTCTTCTTGCGCAGCCGGGATGTGCAGGGAGGATTTATTCCAAGTGGAATACAGACGAGCAGTTATATGCCGCACATGGTCGCAGTGTCTCTCTCACTCTCTCTCTCTGTCTCTCTCTCTCTTTCTCCCTCAGCCAATCTGCGCACAGTGACGCTGCGCAAAGGCTGGATCTAGTCTTGGCTTCATCATCATATTTAACACACCCACCCAGATTCACACATGCTACAAGAGGTGCATTTTCTTATCCCGCTGTACTGCTAGAGGTTGCCTGGTCCTGCGGGAGGATTCCTGTCTCCTGTTACCTGTGCAGTGTATTCCGTTGGCTCGCCTCGGGGTGATTACTCGGGACTCGAGCTGACAGAATTACGCACCCTGGATCGCCGAGGTGGATGAGAGCACACGCGTCGACTACTTTTCGGGGACTTTCCCCGACAATAACATTTAAATGTGAAGTGCTGCACTTCCCGTGCTTATTTTTCCGGGTCCCAGCTGATCCGCTGCCGCTCTTCCCCGCACAGGATCGAGGTCGGATGGTGAGACCGATGCGCGCACTCGAACCTCTTGGACACGCACATTTAACGGATCATTTCCCTCCGCGTGTCACAGCTGCTTGTGGATCCTACTAACTCGTCTGCCGCTCTGTATTCCCTCTGAGGTATCTGGTGGTCGGCAGGAGAAGGGGAGAGCGGCGGCGTGAAGAGGATGTGGCTTGCGCAAATCGACCGCTGGTCTGAGCCGACTCGACCTGCTTTACCTGGACGCTTGCGGATGATTTAGCGCTTCAACAAATCTCGCCTGGACACCCCGCGCGGATAAAGCAGGACTCTGATGTTGAAAATACAAAAGGCTGAACACTGAATCCTTTACTCAAGACGGCAAGTGAAGATGGGTCCTACGTGTTTAATGTATATTTCATTAGATTGGCGTCCAGTCTAATAAACATCATCAGCGATGTAGTCAGTTTGTTCATCTGCGTGCTCATCATTTGCAGTAAATACTCACATCTGCTCAAAAGGGAGACCATGAAGATGATCCTCCTGCGCAAATTCCGGTTTCTGATCCTCATGGTGTTCCTTATTGCATGCTCGATGCACATAATGATAGACTTGTTACCAAAGCTGGAGAGGCACAGCAACAGCGGCTGTTCCTGCTCCCACACACCGAGCGAGGAGCCTCAGAGCTGGGGGAAGCAGGGCTGGCCTAACAAGCACACCCTGCGGATCCTCCAGGACTTCAGCAACGAGCCCAGCTCAAACGTTTCCTCCCACTCCCTGGAGAGGATCCCGGTTACAGGCGACAAGACGCAGGCGTTCAGGAGACTCGAGCATCTCGGGCAGCGGAAGAGGCAGTTCATCCAGGACGCCTCGGTGACCAAGAACATGCCGGTTAAGGGTTCAAGGTTGTCGGCTCTCTACGAGCATCCCTTGTATAAAAGATCCGTGCCACCTCTGACGGACGAGGACACGCTTTTCAACGTCAACACGGACATCAGATTTGACCCCAAAGCAGCAGAGGACCAGGCATGGTAAAGTGCTTTAAAGCTCTAAATAAACATTTTATAATTTGTCTAAAGATCACATTAAAAGGCTTATGGTTTAGTTCCGTGCAATCACATTAATGTAACTGTGCATCTGGGCTGTTGCACAACAGCTGTCACTCTTCACATGAAAACCTGACAATCCTCTGTCTCCCTATCCCTTCACCCCCTCCCCTCTCTTCTTCCTCTCACGCAGGAATGCTGAAGGCAACATGGATGAGTTCAGCCCAACAGGAGAGCTGGCAGCCGATTCGTACCCCAACTGGCTCCGCTTCCACATTGGGATTAATCGATATGAATTGTACTCCAGGCACAACCCTGTTATCGATGCTCTCCTGAAGGACCTGGTTACCCAGAGGATCACCAGCGTCGGTGAGTCATAAGAAAGCAGAGGGAGGGCAGCAGCAGCCAGGAGGAGTGCGGAGATGGAGGGTCAGAATTATACTTTAGTCTAAAGACACCAAACTGACTCTTCATTTAGGCTCACACAAGTCACCATGACATTCATTTTTTGAGGTTTGTTGAGGTTTAATGGTGATCAGATTTGTGTTCATATTGCCATATGTCACTAGCTGGAGGATGAATGGTTTACCCACCTTTCTAGTACCAACACCACGTCATTGGCGACCAATAATAAACAAGCTATTAGGGAGTCCAGTGTCTTGATCAAGGACCCTTCGACAGGCCACCAGCTGATGGACCAAAATATTGGTTGTGCTCATTGATTAAACCTGTGCCATTTTTGGCTAGGTGTCTCTGTGTGCTGTGCAGAGGTGAAAGTTCAGTTTAATGGGTCTCCTATTTGAGAAAACATAGTCAGCTCTGTTGCCAGATTGACTGACGCCAAGTAGCCCAATCATAGTGGAGTATCTGATGATATTTACATATATTTATTCACTGAATAAACATTTGATCTTAATAACAATGTAACGTACCAAGAACGGACATTATTGGCTTTGTTCTGTGGTGCCAGAAAGGAATTTGGGTATTTAGGTGAACCGGAAACCTTTGTTAGAGCAATTAAAGACAATCTCCATGTGCATAACGTTATATTTTATATGACACATATACGAACAGACATAAGCTTTCACAAGGCTTCACAGAGCTATGACTTTGCAACTGATAAAAATAAAAAGGAAAAGTGAAGCTGAAATGTTGGTCATCAGTGCCATGTCAGTATGAATCATAGTACCATACGAAGAGAACAGGCTGATTGGACTGTATCTGTAAGCTTTTTCATTCAAATAAACAAAAAGTGGCCCAAATTTTATCTGCCCAGTCAAATAAAAAGTAGCCCAGCTGGGTGGAAAAGAGCCCAATCCAGAAACAATGAGTGTCAGTCTTAACAGTAAGCCAAAGGGGAATGTATGCCTCATGTTACATTATGCATGCCTCGTGCCTAATGTAACTGAGTCTACCGGTTAAGAGTGAAGGGAGGTGCTCCTAAGTGATGGACAATTGTGCTCCCCCCCGCCGCCACAGCGATGTGAACACACACAAAAGTATGCACGGAGATGGAAGTCAGCTGCAGGCTATCGTACGACAGCGCTGAATCTGATCAGCCTGCACACGCGTGCCTTACAAGGCTGAGGGAATAATAAAACAGCACAATCTCTTCTCTCATGTCTCCCCACAAAGCGTCAGAGTAGAAAACATGAAGCCTGAGAGAACACCTGGTCTCGATGCAAATCAGTCAGCCACACATCCCAGTTTGATTCAAATCAAATGCTGTGGCTTTTTATGTGTGTGCAGCGTAAATGTAGCTTTCTACAGAAAGCCGCAAAGCCTTTGCTGCAAGTGCAAGCAGATACCTGACAGAGGCGATAATCCATGCTGGGGCTGTTATATGGAATCTATTTCTGCTTTTTTTTCTTCCCTTTTTGGGGGGGATTGTCTTTCTTTTTGGCTCGGTCCAGCTCCCACATTCCAAGAGTGCTTGTCGACTCATGGTCGCCCATCTTGCGCTCGCTGTAAAAACTGATTGCAGATTTTAGGTTCGTCTGCCAATGACAAAACTGTAACTGGCCTATAGCAAAGATTAAATGCTTATCTTGGATTAGCTGTTTATAAAACCAGCACCCCTGTCTGGTCACTAAAGGAACAATTTCTTTCATTCTTTTCTGTCTTTCTACTCCAGATGTTCTCTCATTTTCTCAGATTTTCTCCCTTTTGCTTTCTGTCTCTTAGGCTGGGTGGATAGAGGAAGCAGTTCTCAGCGTCTCTAGCCAGCTAAGTACATGGTGGCTCAGTAATTACAGAGCCTTAACACAGGCCTGGGGCAGAATACCAATAGGAGCCAATAGTAGTCAGTTATTATCTAAACTTAAGGTTAGGAGTGCTTGGATGTATTATACACCGTAACCTCTTTTGAGCAGCGTTCATCAATGAAAACATATCGTGCAAAGGCAGCAGATATGATAAATGTTATTACAGATGATAGTAAAAGTCTGTGACTTTGATGGCTGCAGCTCAAAAAAAGAAGATAAACATTCTTGCAACATGAAGTCTTGACAAATACGGTTTGCTTAATGTGTGTGAAGGTTGAAATGAAGCGCTATATACAGTTGCTCTGCATGCATGAGTTCCTAGTAATTACAGTTAGATTTGCCTTTATTTAAAATGTCTCCAACACACAACTTCACAGAGCAGCAGGTGAGGTCAGACTGACATTGATCTTTCCACTTGTAAATCTTTTCTCTGTAAACATTTAGCTTGTCCTCATGATTCCCATATGTAAAAATAAATGAGAACATTGATTGAGAAGGTTGTTCTTTGGCAAAGGGCCACCAAAACACTGCTTTCAATCGATCAGTTGAAGAAAAGGAACAGGCTCAGTGGCTTTTGCGAATTTTGTTGTATTCTAGCTCCGTATAGTCCTCTCCCCAGCACTGAGCCCAGTCCCCCAAGTGCCTTTAGACTGCATTATCATGTACAAAAAGGGAGAAAACATGAAGGATAGGAGGATGAATAGAAACACAAAGAGACAGAGAGAGAGAGAGAGAGATGGACCCTCCAGAGAATACACAGAGAGAGTAAACAGCGGAGGAACAGAGATCGTCGGGCGAGCACTGGCTGTCCTTCACCCCCTCATGCTGCCTTCCCATCAAACAAACACTGTGACATCAGCACTCAAAGCACACACACACACGCAAAGACGCACAAACACACATCCACGCACATATGCAAGCTTACATACAAAATGGTGTACTTCAACATGGCAGAGGAAATTGATGTTTCAGTCTACAGGTGTACAATGACATGTCTCTAAAATGTAAATTCAAATCAGTCAATATTACATTTGTATGAACAGAAAATAGTCCCATTTTATCATGCCTTTATGGACATAGTCTTATCTTTGAACAGTGGATAGCTGATGTGTTTGTGTGAGTGAAGTGTTTGTGTATAGCTGATTTTTGGTCTTATTTAATTTAGTTTAATTGTAGAGAACTTGGCCAATAACGACCTACTACACCCTCAGTTGTATGCAGGATACATCTGTTCTCAGTAGTTAATTTAGATGACGCCATGGAGCCTTAGCATGCTTAGCTTAAGTTTTTTTTCCCTGCAATTGCTTTTTTGTATATTTGAGGCAGAAATGTTTTCAGTAAACAGTTGAAATGAGGAGGGTTACTGAAGCCTGCATCCACTGCTTGGACTCAAAGTTCAAGGGGGCATTTTCAAGAAATAGATGGAGCAACAGTAATAATTAATCATTTATTAAGCCAAATCGTCAAACATTAACCTTTTTAAAGCTCATTAAAGGGCGAGGATTTGCAGCGTTTCTCTGATTTATATTGTGAAATTGGATTTATTTTGGATTTTGGAGTGCTGGTTGGACAAAACAAACAATTTAAAAACATTACATTGAGTTTTCAGAACTTGTGCTGGTCAATTTTCACTATTTTCTGACTTTTTACAGTTATTGTCTGCTGCCTAATGTGTGTATCATCTTGTTAATTTATTGCCGACTGTAGTTAAGTCCATTATTTAAATCAGTTTTATTCTCCAAGCAGCGTTGCTCTGGAGGTGAAGAAAGCTAAAAGCTAAAATCTACAGTTCTGTCAAATACAAATTGGCCCTCAATTTATTTTACCACTAACTACTAAACTAAAGTACTAAACACTGGTCAAATAAATTGAAGGCAGTGACTTATTTTAATGAGATATTCAATATGATGTTACAGTCAGCAGCCGACTTAATTAGCTTTCCTAAAAATTATACTTTGGCTAGTTTGAATTTTGAAGCACAGCTATGCTAGCTAGCTAGCTAGCTAACACCAAAAGGACTGTAAGCCCACACAGCTCATTTATTTGGTAAAATCTTGATAGTTGCCTTAAGTTAATGTACTGTTAATAGCAATGTTATCTCTTTCACTTCAACAGCAATGAAGTCTGGAGGAACTCAGCTCAAGCTCATCATGACTTTCCAGAACTACGGCCAGGCTCTCTTCAAACCCATGAAGTAAGTTTGATCCTCAGCGGAAATGTATTTTACGTGTCGTATGTGTTCGGCCCTTTGGGTAAACTGCCCTCTCATCTCTGTTCCTCTACTGTTCAGTGTCGGGTCCACTCTCTTTAAGAAAAAGCAATCTCTTTCATATCGTGTTAAAACTTGAGTGCCATTTCAGCATAAAACAGCAACTGTGCAGCTTTCTACCTCTACTGACTTCCTTTTCGCATCCCACCACCTACTCATTCTCCTCACAACATCAATCTCATTTCCTCATTCTCCTCTCTGGCTATATCAAATTGCTTTCATTTCAGCACAACCTTGATATTCGATTGAAGGCCGACATCATTCTGCTGTGTCAGAGCCAAATGTTGAGTAGGCATTTCACCTCATAGGGCTGTCAGGTGACACAGCACATCTTTCAGTGGCCGTGTTGGAACCTCTGCCCTCAGGCGTCACTGGCTGTGTCGTTTTGTGACGGATTCATCAGATCGGTTTTCTGTGTTTTCGTAATCTCAAACCATCCATTGAGCTAAATGTCACTGTCTTGTTGTCAACATGTGATATGTGTACAGGAACTTTTTCGCCATATGCTGGCGGTGTGGCTCTAGGGATGCCAATGTTGATCTTTTAGTCAGTCGGTCAGTCCATCGCTTTGGTCCCGACTGAAATATCGCTACAACTATTGGATGGATTGCTATGGAATTTGATACATATATCTATGGTGCCCAGAGGATGAATCCTAATGACTTTGCCTTGAACTGCTTTTTCATATGCGCCACCATGAGTTTGACATTTGTGGTTTTGAGTTTAACGTCTCAATTTCTATAGATTGTGATTACTATGAAATCTGGTACACACATTAATGTCCCCTTCAGGTTGAGTAATAACCTTCAGTGATCCCCTGACATTTATCTAGCACCATTATTAGGTCAGAATCTTAATTTGGGCATTACTTTTGTTCCAGACCAAATATCTGCAAAACTAATGACATTCTCATTAGCCTCAGCTGTACTTTGTATTCAGTGCTAATTAGCATATATTAGCATGCTAACATGTTAAACTAAGATGGTGAATATGGTAAATATACCCACTAAACATCTGCATGTCAGCATTGTCATAGGGATCATGTTAGCATGATTAAAATTAGCTCCATCTCAAAGAACCGCTGTGCCTAAGTACAACCTCACAGAGTTGCATGACTAGACTCTTGTTGTCTTTTTATGTTTGTCCCAAGTGTAATTGCCTGAAAAAGCCATTATAGAGCTGAATTATTCCCATATTAGATCCTGAAATAAATGTAAAACGCAGCTGAAAAAGATCAAAAGCACCAGTTTTTGTTTGTGTTATTGTTTAGTCCAATGTGATGATTTAACAGCTGAATTTATGGTATGTATTTTTGGTTTACCGCTCTTGCTAACCCCAGGCCTACATATTTTGTCTTTTTTTTTTTTTAACCGGCTCTCTATAATGGTGCCAGACATAATTGCTGGGAGCTTTGTGATCCAACCGCCAAGCCTCAGTTCTTTGCCTCATCTTCTTCTGAATCCTTTTCCAATTGTGATACGAGAACCAGTGAAATACAGCGTATCATTAACATCTCACATAAAAAGGTGCAGAGGAGTGAAAGCAACACTTTCCTCTCCTTTTGAAGCTAAGCTTACCTCTGCACACCCTGTAATACACTTTGGCTTAACTTGTAAAGAAGATAAGTCTAACCAACACTGCCCCACTGGTAGATACTGTGTAATATTTGATTAATTCACGATTCCTTTATGCACACTGTCATATTTAGACGATAACGCATCCCAAGAGAAGTGCTCTTTGCTCCTAATCCCTCCTCGATTGGTGGATTTAAATGTCACCCGTCCTTTGTTATGGTGATTGTAATTTAATTGTGGGTTAATGGTTTTCTACACAAAAAAAACTGTTGTCTGGCCCCTACATGTCAGCGTGGAGAGCGGGGTTAAGCCTGTGGATGATAGGTAGCGAGGTTTTCCGTGGGAGGAAAAGCTATTCAGAGACTGTAGTAATTACTGCTTCAATCGTACCACACTAAGTCAGGCCAGACGCAACAAGCCTGAAATCATTCTGACAGGCCGGGGAAGAGGAGAGATGAGACTGAGGTGAGGGAAGGGAGGGGAGCGGAGAGGTGTGGAGCGCCAGAGAGAGGAGGGAGGAAGGGTGAGGGGGCAAGGACAGGAGGAGATGGGGGGTAAAGAAGAGAGAGAGAGAGAGAGAGAGACATGGGCAGGGAGAGTTGTCGATACACGCACAGAGTGAAAATCCACAGATTATCTCGGTGCACTGCCTCAAATTTTAACCCAGACGGGAATGTGAAATGACATTTTCCGGGAAAAGCGCGTGGTGGTGGGGTTGGATGTAAATCTGTTGCTTGACAGTTGTGGTTGTCAGAGCCGCCGTGATGTTTGATAATCCTGAAGAGTGAAGGGGGGCTTTTTTTCATTCCCTCCTGCTTGAATGCACTTGACTTTAACAAAATAGGGCAACCCATGCTGGCATGTGTCTGTGTGTGTGTGTGTGTGTGTGTGTGTGTGTGTGGGTGTGCTCATTTGAACTGCAATCAAGGTCTTGACAGATTTGCACAGTCATTTCCGCGATATACATCATTTCCCTTGCAGAGATCGCACTTGCATACATGCCAAGATCCATCCGTGCGCGCACACACACACACACACACACACACACCCACTTAACACCCAACATCATCTCCGAGTTCCCAAATCTGCTGGTGTGTTTCCACATGGTGCATCAAAGAGACAGAGGCTGAGAGATCAAAGACTTCCCCGGCTGTGCTCTTCTGCTCGGCTCCTCTCAACTCTAATGCAAATGTGTGCCAGGCAATCAGGCAGCGAAGGCAGGCAGGCAGGCATGCATGCAGTGTCTGGGTAACGATCGACCCTCCAACCATCCATATCTGCGGAAACCTGCACTCTCTCTCTCTGTGCTCTGCTCCCTCTGTTTATCGGCCCTCCTGTCTCCCATTCTCAGTATTCTCTCTGTGCCGTTTGTTTCTCTCCCTCGCACGTTCTTTAATGAATGGCACAGATGAAGAAATCCATTAACAGGCTTGCCGTATCGATCCTTTAGGTATTCTCTTTTCTTCTTTTCGTTTTTCCTCAGAGAGAGAGCATGATCAAATACTACGGTCAGTGCTTTTGTTTTGTCGTGGTGGGGTTTGGCCTACAGTACCTGTCCACTATGATGTAACATCGATGAATCAGCCCACTGTCTGCGGTCCAGTTTTCCAGACATGGAATAAACCAACTCTTAACTAGTCTAATCCAACAAGAGGCTTGTTTTTTGTTATTTGTTAAGTCTACAGATAGTGGGAGATCACAGAGGCTTCAAGGCATGGCACTAAATCTCCCAGCTGATGCCCAGCCCTGTGTTGCGTAGACAGATGAAATCATCATAGTTGTACTCTCTATCACAACAACTGCATTGTAACCTGACTAAAGCTGAGTTTGATGACTAAGCTCAATTATCATCTCCGTCATCCTCCGCATCCTGTTATGCCTGTGGCCGGGACTGAAATAACCCCAAATTGTGGCATTTCCATAATTTCTGCTTTTGTTCTCGTAAACAAACAGTTTACGCTGTCATGTTGGGAGTGTATACTTAACATATGTGGGTGAAAACATGTTGATTTGTCAAAATATACAGAGTAGATCAGTTTTAGGGTTTTTTTGTTGTTGATTTGTTGATTTGTAATGGAGAAGTACAGACAGTTGCATGCGAGCATGAGCTAATTTACAATGCCAGTCCTTCGATGGGCATTTATAGTTCAGGCAACCATTAAAATGGCATTATAGTTTAGAAATCTTTAAATCAGTGCATGTAATAATGATAGACAAGAACAACAACCTTCCATGACAGCGCACGCAGAAAACATAAAAACGAACAAATAAAAAACTAAACATAAACACAAAACATTAGAAACCTCTAGAAGACATGGTACAGGGACTTAACCTGAGATTTCTACCTCAAATGAAAAAAAATGCTGGTGGAAGAAGAACAAAATAGTCCCAATTTCACCTGTTTTTTAGTCTTATGCTGTAGCTATGCTAGCTGTGCTATCCTTGAGGGAGACACCAGTCAGAAAATGGCGATGTTTTTCATTTAATTCTTGTACGCTGTGTTTAATTCTTGTGAGCTGAGTGGTGTTCCCAGCCTTTCCTGTCAGCCTTTGTGTGTCCCCATCAACCTTCCTAAATCACAGAGCTATGGCAACTGCTTTGTTGCCTGCTCCTTCTGCTCATGTGGTTTAATATTGCTGTGAGTGCATAATTATTCTCTTTTTCTTTTAGCTATTTGATTGAGCATACTGTAAGTATTGTTGAATTGTAACTTACAGCAGAAATCTTAAAGCTATGTTGCTGAAAGTGTCACCAATTATGACCGTTCTGGCCAGCAGCTATGAGGAAATGACTACACTGGACTGGTAGCCGATGGCGGCACTCTGTAGTGCTGTAGAAAAAAAATCATTTGAAAAGGTACAGTCCCTTTGGGAGGAGTGCTCCAGCAACAAAACATTTTGTACCTTCAAAAGCTTACCTTCAAGTTCAAATAATACTGATACATTTAATGTGCCTTTTGCTGTCAGAAATGTCAATGCAATACAAATGCATGCATGTAATATCTTAAGGACCACAAGGGACCTCTGTTACAAGTACCTCTGTGTACTGAAATAGGCCGTGTGTCGTACGGTGTGTTTGTGTTCCAGCTGTACCGTTGTACTTCATAGTACTTTGAACCTGAGTGTCTGGGTAGAGAACACTGACAGTGAAAATTAGTCTTTTATTTTTATATTTTCTTTGTCTTCTTTTTCTTGTCTCTCTCTCAGGAAGACATGATTGTAATATTTACATTGAAATTTGCCTCAGAGCACACAAAGCTCATTAGATCATGAGTGCAGATGATCGACAAAGGAAGGCGAGGAAGGGACTGATGATTGATATAATGATGGTCTTCCGTTCCTTCCCGCTTCC